TGTTGTCAATGTTGTTGTCGTTGTTAATGTTGTTGTCAATGATGTTGTTGTTAATGCTGTTGTTGATGATGTTATTGTTGTTAATACTGTTGTTGTTGCTGTTAATGTTGTTGTTGATGATGTTGCTGTTAATGTTGTTATTGATGCTGTTGTTGTTAATGTTATTGAAGATGTTGTTGTTAATGTTGATGTTGTTGTTTGGAAGATGTTGAGAATGAATTAATTCGAAATTTGCATCTGGTAGTTCTTTCTTCGTTATTGATGTATATGTACTGATGACGTTGTTGTTGTTGATGCTGTTGTTGATGTTGTTGTAGTTGGTGTCGTTGTTGTCGTCGCTGCAGTTGCTTCTGACGTTGTTGTGGTTGTTGTTATTAGCAGCCGGCAAAACGTCACAAAAATGTCAACATTTTTCCCCAACTCAGTCAACGTTTGATTAATAAGTGGGAAGAAAAAAAATACCCAACACCCATCATCATCCCCATCGCCATCATCATCTTTTTCACCATCATCATCACCATCACCATCATTTTCTTATCATCATCTTTTAATCATCATCACCATCATCATCATTTAGCGTCACCATCATAATCATTATCTACTTTATAATTATTACTGTCAGAGTTTTCTATTTGGCATTCGTTTCCATCCTCATCAATATCACTTCGTTCGCCATTATCATGCTATCATCATCATAACTCTCATCATCATTATCACATCATCATCATCATCATCATCCTTATTATCACATTAGCATCGTTGGTTTAGGCTAGCTGATAACAATTTTCTTTATTAATGTCCAAACATTATTTCAAAGCAAAGATGCCAACAGTAATATAATTAAGGAAAGAACAAGAAGTTTTATTATCCAATAAATATATATATATATATTATATTATTATTATTATTATTATGTTAATTATAGTATAATTATTATTAATTATTATTATTATAAAATATTATGGCAGGGTAAATGTAAAACTGAAATATGAGAAGCGGCCAAATATCGTTAGCTCTGCACGAACCGTTGCTTTTATGTCGGTCTATCTGATCATTGTGCGTGAGTGTGTGTGTGTGTGTGCGGGAGAGAGAGAGAGAAAAGAAAGAGAGGGAAAGAGAAAGAGAAAGAGAGAAAGAGTGTGTGTGTGTGAAGAGAGAGGGAGAAAGAGAGAGAGAGTGTGTGTGTGTGTTTGTGTGTGTGTTTGTGTGTGTGTGTGTGTGTGTGTGTGTGTGTGTGTGTGTGCGAGTGAATGAGTGAGTGAGTAAAAAACTTTAAAAATAAGAAAAAGAGAAAGAGAAAAAGAAAAAGAAGAAGAAAAGAAGAAAAAAGGGAGAGAAAGGAGAAAGAGAAAAAGAAGGATAAAAAAATACAAATGCCTCCACCGGCGCCCGAGCTTGCATTACAAACTTGCCAATCCATCAAGTAAGAAAGCCTCGATGGCTTGTGAAGTCGCTACCCTTATCACTGCGGCAGCTGTTAATGATTGTTATTACTGTTACAATGGTGGTTTTTGTGGCCGACAACATAAGCAACAACAACAACAACCACAACATGAACAACACTAACAACAACACGAACAACAACACACTAACAACAACACACTAACTAACAACTACAACAACACGAACAACAACAACATGAACAACACGAACAACAACACAAAAAACAACACGAAAAACAACACGAAAAACAACAACAGCAACACGCAAATATTCAATTTACAAGAGAAACGTCATCAACAGTGACGCCAACGTATCAGCCATCTTGCAAACGTCAACAACGAACTATTACGTCACATCAATAAAACGGATGCCAACGGTGACGTCATCGGGAATCGTTGAGTATGATCGTGATGATGATGATGATGGCGATAAGGAGAAAAATTAGCAGCCGTGGCAGCTGTAGTAGCAGCTAAAGCAGCAGTAGTAGCGATAAAAATACTAGTAGTAGTAGGTAGTAGTAGTAGTAGTAGTAGTAATAGTAAAAATAGTTATAGTAATAAAAGTGGTAGTAGTAGTAGTAGTAGTAGTAGTAGTAGTAGTAGTAGTAGTAGTGGTAGTAGGAGTATATCAGTCCGAACTTGCCTCTTGTTAATGATGATCCTGTACTGAAGAACTATGAGTTCCTGGAAATCCTGAAAAGAACTAATAAAGGTTGAATGGATGGATGAATGAATGAATGAATAAATGAATGAATGAATGAATAAATAGATGTATTGAATGATTGATAAACGGATATATAGATGGATAGATAGATTGATGAATGGATATATAGATGGATAGATAGATGAATGATAGATCAACAGATAGATGAATTGATAAAAGGTTTGATACATCTAAATGAACACTCGGACATTGCAAATGAATAATTAAATTTTCAAGTCACTGTTAAATTCCGCAAAATATTAAAAAGCCAGGCAAAAATCTTGATAAACTGCTCATTGTAAATAAAAAGCAATCAGAAACCTTGACGAACGAAAGTAAATAAGT